TTAAGCCATTCGTCATGCGGCGTGACGATACCTGATGTCCTTATTCATATATATGCGGATGTACTTATATATTCCTCATTATTTTATCAACTAATTATTAATTATAATAACAATTATATTTTGTAATTACGTATTAATTCATAATTAATAAGAGACGCCATTATACAAATACTCTTCCAGTGCCATCTACAGAATGTAAATCTCACAGAAAAGAAGCATTGCTAAGCGAAGCTATTATTAAGTCGAAGATGGAAATGTTGAATATTTTCGTATCTAAATCTGAACTACACTCCATATATAGTGAGTAGGGACCCTGTTCAATCCTACATCTACACCTATCATGATGTTTATGCGTGTAGATGCTAATATTCGCGCTCCCCCTCCCTACCTCGCAGTTCTTTCCGGTGAAGCCAGGGTGACAAGCGCAGTGATAATCTTTCACGAGGTCACTACAGGTGGCGCCATGCGTGCACGGCACGGACGCGCAGTCGTCGATGTTGAACTCGCAGTGGGTGCCGTTAAAACCCGTGTCGTCGCAGTCACACGTGTAGCTGCAGAGATAATTATTCTTTATTAGTTATTAATTGATCAATAAATTATTAAGGATGAATTGTATTTAAAAAAAGACAATGGGTCAATCATGGGCATATAATCTCAAATAAAAACCAAATTTGAGATTATTTACCTCTGACAACATAATAAAATATATAATATAATATATAATATATGGTATTAATTGTAGTAGCCTAATAAGCAGTAAGCTAGCATAAACAATATCCATTGCCTCGCGTTACCACCCTATCGCCGTTCCACACTAATATCCCAATAGTCAGATTATACGTAATAAACTTTGATAATGATAATAAAATATAAATAAAATTTGCCTCAAGCTTGTACTTCAACCAAGCTGGTGCTAAAGTTGTGCAAACATTGGGCAGCAAATTGTAAACACCATGAAGAAAACAGGAGTGCCTCATGATAGCCCATGAGCAGTCTTTACACAATGCCTCAGAGTGCACACCCATCACGAGTGCACACCTTATCAGCAACAAAAAGTCAGGACTAACCATCATAAGCTGCCTTTACCCTACTGTCATCTGCTAACACACTCAAACAACCTCATTCAGGTTGACGAAGATGCCGAAAAAAAACCTAACTAACCTAATTTCATACCTACCACCGTCGCTAACAAGTCAGGACACAGATTTATAACGAAATAAAATTGCTCTTAATCTCATCTCAACTTAATCTCGTCGTTGTTAATCTGCTCGTGTATAATCCGGGGATAAGAGCGAGACGGCATGAGCGCGCGCGAGAATCATTTTCTATGAAAATTTCAATGTTTTATGTGACAGTTAACTTAAAGCATGCCTTAATTTAGCTCATAAGGTCTATGTCGCCCAGGGTACTGCCGGAACGTACCCTGGGTATAGTCCGGTATACCGGAACGTACCCTGGGAACTATCTAATATGGTTAGGGTTAGGGTTAGGGTTAGG